TTTTGTATCAATGAAGAATTATCTTCCTAACTACCAAATCTTCACATTAATTCATCTTTGAATCTTGTCAAATTTAACAAATCTCCACCTTGGCAAGATTCTCCATTTTCAACTTTCTCTCAACAACTTTTGATTGTGTCTTCAACTTCAATCTTCAATGTTCAACAATGTTGATCAAGTTCAAACAATATTGAAACTTGACCGCAGTCACCACTTTTGTCAGCATATCGGCAGGATTATCCGTAGTATGAATTTTCTGCACTATGACTCCACCTTCTTCTATGATGTCTTGTATGAAATGATATCGTACATCAATGTGTTTCGTCCTTGCATGATAAACTTGGTTCTTTGCTAATTGAATAGCACTTTGACTATCACGAAATATTGTGATTCCTTCTTGTCCAATACCAAGCTCTCTAAGCAATCCTTGAAGCCAAATTGCCTCCTTCGCAGCCTTTGTAATTGCCATATACTCTGCCTCAGTGGTAGACAAAGCAACTGTTGACTGTAAAGTAGACTTCCAACTAACTGGTGCGTTTGCAATAGTGAAAACATAACCAGTAGTTGATCTTTGTTTGTCCATATCACCTGCATAATCTAGTCACAATATCCAACAAGATATTGACTATTTTTATGCTCATAAACCAAGCCAATATCTACAGTATTATGAATATACCGTAGAATCCATTTTACAGCCTGCCAATGATCCTTTCCAGGATTATGCATGTACCTGCTTACAACTCCAACAATGTGTGAAATATCTGGCCTTGTGCAAACCATTGCATACATCAAGCTACTAACAGCATTCGCATGTGGTACTCTTGACATATATTCTCGTGCAACTTCATTCTTTGGCGACATAGCATCACTAAGCTTAAAATGAGGAGCAAGCGGAGTGCTAACCGACTTTGTTTGCTCATTCATGCCAAATCGATTTAGTACCCTCTTCAAATATTCTTTCTAAGATAAAAAAAAAAAAAGCTTATTTGAATGTCGATCTCTTGTTATCTCCATGCCAAGAATCCTTTTTGCCTCACCCAAATTCTTCATCTCAAACTCATTTTTTAGTTGAATTTTTAGCTTCTCAATTTCCTCTTGACTTTTAGAAGCTATCAACATATCATCAACTTATAGGAGAAGATATATAAAGGAATCGTCTTCAAGCTTGCGCAAATACACACAATGATCGTATTTGCTTCTTATGTACCTTTGCTGCAACATAAACTTGTCAAATCGTTTGTACCATTGTCTAGAAGATTGTTTCAATCCATACAACGATTTTTCAAGTTTGCACACCATATTTTCTTTTCCATCAACTTTGAATCCTTCTGGCTGAGTCATGTAGATTTCCTCTTCCAAGTCTCCATGTAAAAATGCAGTTTTTACATCCAACTGAACTAGTTCCAAATTCAACTGTGCTACCAAAGCCAACAAAACTCTAATGGAGGAGTGTTTCACAACTGGAGAAAATATCTCCTTATAGTCAATTCCCTCCTTTTGAGTGTATCTTTTGGCCACTAATCTTGCTTTGTAGCGAACATCTTCTTGGTTAGGAAATCCTTCTTTCTTTGCAAATACCCATTTGCACCCAATTGCTTTCTTGCCATCCGGGAGATTGGCCAATTTCCATGTATGATTCTGATGAAGGGACTGCATTTCTTCATCCATGGCAAACCTCCACTTATCTTCTTCTAAACTTTGGACTGCATCTTTATAAGTGGTAGGAATGTCATCCGATGCAATTGAGTCCGCACAAGCCACCACATCTATGAGTCGAGCAGGTTTTCTTATTGTCCTTTTTGGCTTGCTGATTGCTATTGATTCAAGTTGTGGTTGAGGTTCTTGAGATGGAACATCCCCTTTGACTGGCTCTTCTTCCAGAGGAAAAACTTTTATTGTTTCCTCATTTGATCCATGTGTTGGGAGAATTATTTTTGGGAAAATTGTATATAATAGCAAACTATTAATTCAAATTAAATGCTATAAATATAGTTTGATTTAATTGTATCCCATAGCAAACTATTGCTATTTAACCTCTCTCCTGGTGAATCTCGCTCGCCACTCTCGTTCTCTCCCTCGCCTCTCTCATTTTTTATACAAACGCAAGTGTATAAAGTGCGTTTGTGTTTGTATAAAGCGAGAGAAAATTGTATAAATACATATATTTTTGTTCCCCTCTCTCCCCTCTCCCAGATCTCGCTCGCCACTCTCCCAGATCTCGCTCTCTCACTCGCCTCTCTCACTTTATACAAAAACCGCAAATTGTATAAAATGCGTTTGTGTTTGTATAAAGCGAGAGAAAATTGTATATATACATATATTTTCGTTCCCCTCTCCTAGATCTCACTCGCCACTCTCCCAGATCTCGCTCTCTCACTTTATACAAAAACGCAAATGTATAAAATGAGTGAAAATTATATATATACATATATTATCGTTCTTCTCTCTCCCCTCTCCCAGATCTCACTCGCCACTCTCCCATATCTCGCTCACTCACTCGCCTCTCTCACTTTATACAATTGATCTTTTTGTATATGTATACCAAAGCAGATTATACAACTGCTTTCTTTTGTATATGTATAGCGAAATATACATATTTATGTTTACTATGGAGCGCAATTATGCAAAGTTTGTTATAGCATACAAATATGAATTTTGTGTTTGCTATATGTGAAAGTTGCTCATTATTTTTCCCTCAAACTCCACTTGCTTTGAAGCACCATCAGTTTGTTTGACTTCTTTAATTGTTACCTTATTTGTCAAGGCTGATTCATCAAAGGTAACATCCCTACTGAAAATATTTTTTCTTGTCTCTGGACACCATAAACGGTATCCTTTGACTCCATAAGTAATCCCCATAAATAAAGTTTTCTTTGCTCTTGGGTCCAATTTTGACTCTCTTACATGATAATATGGAATTGAGCCAAATACATATAAAGAACCATAATCTTCAGCAGGTTTTCCATACCATTTTTCTAATGGTGTCTTCCCACCTATAGCAGCAGATGGTAGACGATTAATGAGGTGGCGTGCATATGTTATTGCCTTAGCCCAAAATTCTTTGCCCAAGCCAGCATTGGACAACATACACCGAACCTTCTCCAGCAAAGTTCGGTTCATGCGTTCTGCCACTCCATTCTGTTGTGGTGTATTTCTGACGGTGAAATGTCTGACGATGCCATTTTCCTCACTAATTTTCTGAAAAAGATCATTTTTGTATTCTCCACCATTGTCTGTGCGAAGATACTTGATCTTTTTGCCACTTTGAGTTTCTATCATCGCCTTCCATTTGAGAAAAATTCCCAATACTTCATCTTTTGTTTTCATCGTATACACCCACAGTCTTCGGGAAAAGTCATCAACAAAGGTTACAAAATAGTGTTTCCCACCTAATGAATGTGTTTTGGAAGCACCCCAAACATCTGAATGAACATAATCCAAAATACCTTTAGTATTATGGATAGTTGTTCCAAATTTAACCCTTGTTTGCTTTCCCTTGACGCAATGCTCACAAAACTCCAAGTTGCAAGTTTTTACTCCTTTCAACAGTCCTTGATCTGATAAAGTTTTCAAGGATTTTCCTCCAGCATGTCCCAAGCGCATATGCCACAGCCTGGTCATTTCTGCCTCCTTGTCATCATTGGATGTTGTTGCTGCTGTCCCAATAACTTTACTACCTTGATAGTGGTACATGTTATTATTTTTTCGAATTGCCTTCATTACCACCAGCACACCGGAGCATATTCTCATTACGCCATTATCTGCAATGACTTTGAATCTCTTTGACTCTAGGGCTCCAACATAAATGAGATTCTTCTTCTAATCCGGTACATACCGAACATCTGTTAATGTTCTGGTCAATCCATCATGATTCCTTAATCGAATTGAACCAACACCATATGCGGTAAGAGGATTATTGTTTGCGGTGTGAATAACTCCACATTCTCGTTCTTGTAAATCAGCAAATCAGTCCCTATTGGGACACATATGATAGCTACGAGCTGAGTCCATCAACCATACATCAGATGATTTGGATGGATCTGTTGTAACTAGTGAGTAATCAGAGTCATCACAATCAGCCACATCTGAATCCATGACATCCTTCCCATTATTTGGTTTGGCTTTGCTTTTCAACTTTGGGCAGTCTTTCTTCCAGTTCCCTTTTTCTCGGCAAAAGGCACATTTATCTTTGCTGAGTCTGGATCTTGACTTGGATCTCCCATTCTTCGTTCTCACGTGATTTTGAGAACGACCTCTCACAATCAGACCTTCTGCTTCTCCGCCCTTTTGTTTTCTCTCTTTCTTTGTTCATAACTATATAAGGCAAAACAAACTTCTTTGAGAGATACTTCATCATTCCCATGCAGTAGAGTAGTTTCAAGGTGCTCGAACTCATCGGGAAGTGAACTTAACAATATTAAGGCCATATCTCCATCCGTAAAAGTCACGTCTATATTCTGCAAATTTGTCGCCAACTTATTAAAGCTGGTGATATGATCATTCATTGTGCTACCAGGAATATAAGTGAAGTGTAACAATCTTCTTTTCATGTAAAGTTTATTTTGACTGTTTTTCTTCAAGAATTTCTCCTCCAATGAATTCCATAATTTATTTGCAGATGTTTCCTTTGTGTATGGATACTTTTGTTGTCTTGCTAGGTAAGATCGAATGGTACCGCAAGCAACACGGTTGATAATCTTCTAATCTTCTTCTCCTACACCGTCTGATTTCTTTTCTTCTATGGCAATATCTAGCCCTTGTTGAAAAAGAACATCAAGGACCTCGCCTTGCCACATTCCGAAATGTCCTGACCCATCAAAAATTTCAACTGCAAATTTTGCATTTGACACAATTCGTGTCATAAGCGAAGATGCCAATGATGACGTATTATTGACATTCGATGTGGACTCATCATTTTTATTGTCTCCCATTTTTGCTACAAATACTATTTACTAGCTAACAATGCAAAGACCAAAGTAAATCTTTTCTGATGTGGAAGTTCAGACTGTGCTGCAACCACAGAGCATACTCAGATAATACATTGGCTCTGATACCAATTGTTGCGGAAGCCGAATTGAAATCACAACTGCTATATCTAAAGGTAGCTAATAAATAGTAGATAAGACAACAATAAAAAGAACACCATGAATTAACGAGGTTCGGCAAACTTTTGTTTTCTTTTGCCTACTCCTCGGACACAACCAACCAATATTTATTTCACTCCAAAAGAGTACAAGTGAAATACTACAAGAGAGAAAGAAGATCAAATGCCTTTGAAGATAAGAAGGCAAGTGAGAGGTGTGTTACAAATGAATTAGGAACTACCTATTTATAGGAGTGAATTCTTCCTATTGAAGTCATCCATAACATCACAATGTGTCAAAATGTCAAGATTTACCTTGTGAAACCATTTTATGGTTCACCTAAATTTCACCTACAAAAGATGTATCATGACTTTTGTACCAATGAAGAATTATCTTTCTAACTATCAAATCTTCACATTAATTCATCTTTGAATCTTGTCAAATTTAACAAATACATGGTTAAATAACAACAACATACACAGTGGGGTCTAGGGATGGTAGAGTGTATGCAGACCTTACCTCTACCTCAAATGTAAAGTAGAAGGGCTGGTTCCGATAGAAATCTGGCTCAAGAAACAGTATAGATAGTAACAGAACAGAACTACAACAAAACAATACTAAAAAAATGACAACTACACGAAATAATAGATAGTACTAATTGAAATAGAAAAACAAGAAACTACAATAGTAGTCCTACGACTACTAGTAAGGTCAACAAGACATAGTGAAATAACCATGAACATTATAAACCCTTTTGAACAGAAGATAAAAAGAAAGACAAAATCAAGCAATTGAGAAATCTGAAAGTTAATTGGCACATTACCTGAAACTGCCATTAGGCTCCACCATTCTGCGAATCCTTTTCTAACTTTGATGTTGGTGTTTTGAATGGAGACAGGCAACTTCTGGTGTTCAATTCGATCGCAATTGATCACCTCATGTTCCTCCAGGTGTTCCCACATACTCCGTGGCTCCCCCAATGTTCCTAATTTTGGTAAGTTTCTCAAATGTAACTTCCGTACTGTTGGGATTTCTGAGTTGACAGGTGTTGCCTGACTTGAGCCGCGTTGGACTAGCAACTCTACCAGCTGAGGACAAAAGGTAATTGAAATGTCTTCCAAGTACTTGGGTACAGAAAAAGTGTTAAAAAGACACGTTAAACTTGCACAAAATTGTATATCTAGTTGACGTAATTTAGAAAATCTTAGACCCAAAAGTTGACCGAAATCAGAAACACTCTTTAAATGATTAACAGAAATGAGGCTGAGATGTTCCAGATTTGGCAGAGGGTCAAACTGTGCACTTCCTTCTTTCGATGGTCCGAAATCACAAGAGCATCTCTCTATGCATAGTGATTTTAATCCATCAAAACTGTTGTACGCAATCAACTTCCTGAGACCCATGCATTTTACCAAGTACAAATATGAAGCAAACTGCAACATGCTTGAGAGCTCTCCATTACTGAAAATTTCACACTTGGAGATGCTTATCATCCTTGTTGACTTGTTGAATGGTACATGCGTTGGAGAACTCCCAATTTCAATGTGAAAACTTTTCAATCTAGACATCCAGGTGTGGTCTCGATTGAAAATTGATGAACTATCCAATCTAATAAAAAGAGATGTCAGATTGTGTAGAGACGATATCTCATCAAAAGAAATTGGTCCAAGAAGATTTAACAGCCTCAAATTTGTCGTTTCACTATCCAGCATATTTAACATTTCAATCCTAGACAATTTTAGGAAGAATCCTTTGCTGATGTTCTTCAAATCATTTACAGGTAGTTTTAATAGCCTCAGATTTGTCAACTTATCCATTCCTTGCGGAAGACAACATAACCTTGTATTATCACAATCAAGCAACTGCAAATTGTAAAGTTTACCAATAGGTGGTAACTCTTTCAACTCATTGCAATTTTGTAGTATTAGAGCACGTAGTTGACATAAACTATTGATGGAACAAGGCAGTGCTCTAATACCAGTTGCACTCAGATTCACAACTCTTAGAGCTGGAAATGACAAAAAAAATCCATGGGGAATGTCCTCAAGGAGTTCATTGTCTTGCAGAAGTAAAGAAGTTGTCTCAGGGCATTTTGTGAAGCAATCAGGTAGACATTCGATTTCATTACTTACGAAAGATATTCTCTTGACAGAAGATGATACTTTAATATGTGATATCTGTAGCAAACTCAATTCCACGAAAGCACTTTTATATATATTAATCACTGAATACAAGTTACGCTGTAGAATACGCACAACAAAGTAATAACACACTAATTACGGATAGCTTAACATAGAAGGAGGTAACTAGAAGGGGATGAGATACTAGACCATAGGAAGGAGATGAGAGGATCAGAAAGCCAAAGCTTCACATAATTTGCATGACCCTTCTTCTAACTTCTGGTCCTTTTTAACAAAGTGTAAATGGGCCTGGATCCCAAACAATCCTTTGTGAAGGCCTGGCCCGATTGCTTTTACTCGGCCCAATATCTATTTGTGTGATATCCTTGTTGGTATCCCTATTGGGCTGGGGCTGATTCATAACAATATCCCAGCCAACCCAACTCCAGCTTGAATAATAGAGTTGTGTTCATCCCCATAGGAATTATCTGTCCATCTAACAACATCACGAACCACGTCATGCATCTTCACATAATCTATCTCATGGGCTTCTTGTAGCAAGCAGGTATCTTTTAGACTTTCAATCATTGTGATTCCCCTGTTGTAGGCTTCTTCATGTGTGTTATGTTCACCGAGGAAGCCCTCTGCCCACCAGCAATGTATGAGATCATCTGTTGAAATAGCCGCCGGATATAAGGAGCAATACAACAAACAACTTCGAATATCACCTCTCTTTTTGTTCACAGAGGATGATTCACTATCCTGAGATTCTAAAGAATCAAAACTCGACTTGATGACCATGTAAACCTTTTCTTCTACACTTTTGTTATGAGGTTCGGACATTCTAAGTGATTCCAAAGCATCTTTCCATTGCTCGACCCTCTTCTTCCCTCTCAGAGATGCTCCAATAACAGTGATTGCTAAAGGTAAACCACCACACTCTTCTGCAATTTCCTTTGCCAATGGCTGAATATCCTCCAGATTGGTAACATCTCCCGCACTTTCAACAAACAGTTGCCAAGATTCATCCTCATCCAATGTGGAAATATTCATTTCGGTGTCTGTTTTCATTTTCTTACAAACATCCAAAAAACGAGAAGTTATAATAACCTTGCTTCCTGTGTGAGCTTTGGGTTGGGGCACACCTACATGATCCAAATTTATAGCATCCCAAACATCATCTAGTATGAGAAGGAAACTTTTTTCTTGCTTGAGCCTTTCATAGATTTTGCTAGCAATGCTTATTATGTTTCCCTCATTATCTACCTTTAGGTTTAATCTTCTGGCAATTTGTTCTTGAACCTTTCTTATATCTATTGGTTTCGGCATTGTAACCCATATCACAACACCAAAAGAAAGTTTAGAATTTGACACCTTAATCTTTAGAAGCTCATTGTTCAGATTCTTCACCAATGTTGTTTTCCCAACTCCTCCTTTACCCCACACGCCGATGATGCATACCTAAAAGTATACAAATACCCAAAAAACAATTTACCCACAAGTAAAAGATGCAACAATGATCATATATATATATCATATTATACTAACTTCAAGTGAAAAGTTAAAAAATCAAAATGTCCTTATAAATACAATATAATGAATGTGCACCTTACAATAAATTTAAAGTTTGTTTGGAATTAATTAAAAACTTATAATGGTAGCATATCCAAAACCTTTTGAGCTTTCTATGTATATCAACATATAATCATATAGTAATACATTTTTTTACAAAGATAAAAGAACAGAGGCAATTGATCTAAACAAAGAGGTATTCAGCTAAACTTCTATCACTCTTTGTAAATACCTTTAAAGCCTATAGCAACATTAGATATCAATCTAATGTCAATTAACTAATGTTGGTAAAGACTTTAATACTCTTGTAAATGTACATATTTATTGTCACATATCAATTCCAACATTAGTTAATTGACATTAATGTTTGTGAAGCTTATCAATTCCAACATTACCTTATTATCTTCTAACAGTTGCAAGATTTTGTTGAGATTCCTTGTTGCTGTTGACTGACCTTCTATTGATGGTCCCGGGATGAACTCAACTCTTTTCATCAAGTAATCTTCTACCACCAAATTGGATCCAAAGCTTTTTCCGACTTCTTTAAGCCTGGAAAGATTTTCTCGTATGTTTTGTGCTTGAGTGGAGACTTTAACGCGAAGGCTGCATTTTGGACAACACTTAAATGTAAGTCTTTTTGTTGTTGCAATGCGCTCTTGCATAGCTTTCCATTCATTCTCTAGCTCGTGTGCATCTTCGATCCACTTGAGAACATTGGGTTTTGGTTTGTAGCCTTCTCGCTCAGCTGCTTGCACCATTACTCTGATATCTTCTCTAAGCCATGTTAGCTTATCTATTTCCTCCCTTACATTTTCAATTTTTGATGAGAAACGGACAATATTTTCAATCTTAGGATAGATGCATTTACATACAAATTTTCCCACCACAATAACAGCATTAGAAAGTATATCCATTGTACAATTCTTGATCAAGTAAAGCAAAAAGAATTGCTTCGAATTAGAATGCTATGATCTAATTGAAGGCAAATACAATAACTTTAATTAACAAAGCAAACATATAGGAAGGAAAAGAAGAAATGGAATATCCCTAGCAACACTTTATTCTTTAGACAAGAGTGGAGCAATGTCTTATCTCATTCTTAACTTCATGAACATAATTGTCTTTATTCTTTTGAATCTGTCAAGTGATCAATTAAACCCCTTTCATCGAAAAGTTACACCGTTTAAATAAGTTAATGACTAATATCACATGATCATTTTCCGTAATGTATTATATGTGGCATGTCCAGAACATGATCTTTAATTATGATAATAGTCACGACCAACAACTATTTGCTCTCGACTTGTCGGTAAGGTGAAAACTTCAAGCCTGGCCCGATTCTGGGTGGCACACCCTTGAGTACTCATTATGGGTATATAATATGGGTATTTATAATTTTATGATTTCTGAAAAGATTATTTTTCTAAGTAGACAGAATGTTATTCTAAGGTTGTAAATTTCAAGAACTCTTGCAATGATATATGCTAGTATTAGCTCTGAGGCTCGAATTCTTGTGATAATAGCGTAATTTGTGATGTGTGGATTAGTGTATTTATCATGGATTAAAATACATGCGCGCATAAACTTAATTTTTAAAAGAAATAAAATGATGTTAATTAAGACATTGAACTTTTTTTGAATAATAGGATATATCACTTGCTAAACTTTACATCTAAAGTCCTCTTCTCTAGAATTCCCACCATTTGCAACTTACTATACTAAAAAGAGTAAAATTGATACACATCATGTTATTGGATTTTCCAAAATTAGTGTAATGAGCCCATTTGACCGAATTGCCCTTTCGTTGTTGGCGAAATTATGACCTAGGGTGGAGGGCATTAATGGGCCTATGCGGGACGGGGGAGGCGGTCCAGAGATTAAATGGCACGGGCCGTTGTTGGGCTAGGACCATTTGGTTGGCCCGAGCATCGACGCTCGCGGGCCCTGATGCAGACGGAGTAGATGGGCCCGCGACGCGCTCACAGGACGGGCACATGGTGAGGGTGGTTGGAGGAGTCATTTGCATGTAGAATTGAGGTGATAGCTTTAGTGCCCTTAGCTCTTGAACTTCCTTTTGTAATCTCCTGTTTTCTTCTGTTAGATTCTCACAACATCTCTTCAACAATTCAAAATCTACTTCAGTTTGCTTCAACTTTGTCCTGTTCAAAAAAAAAAATTGATTGATTCATTAATAAAAAAATCCTAAGACAAATATTATTTTCGATTTGAACTATATATTGTTAAAATTAATAGTAACATATATAAACTATATAAATCACACAACTAATTTATGCAACTTTTTTGCAATTTGGACAGTTGTTAGTAAACAGGCTTCTGCTTTTCACGTGATATGTTTAAGATTAAAAGACATTTTAGTATATTCTACATATTTTAATTTAATATCGCGAGATGCGATTTTTTTTATGTCAAATCAAAGTGAAACAATCAAATTCAATCAAAGGGAGTATTATTCTCACCTTGCCCTCCTGTTTTGAAACCAAACCTCCACTTGTCTAGGCCTCAATCCTAGTCTCTTTGCCAAAGCCTGTTTTTGCTTCTGTGAAAGAAAAAAAAAACACAAAATAATATTAGCCAATATTTATGCTGAAAAGGCATTTAACATGTGTAAATAATCAAAATTTAAACTCTGATAAATAACACAGTATAGATGAGTTGAGATGTCTAGTCGTACATATATAAAATAAATAAAAAAACTTACAGGATTGAGAGTGTTGTGTTCTTTGAAACTTTCTTCAAGAACAGCAGACTGATCTTTAGTAAGTCTTAATTTCTTTCTAGAAGTTTCTCCATCTTCTTCATCACTAATACTTCTAGAACATTCTCTTTCAATTTCCAATTCATCACAACAATTAATTATTTCCCTTTCATTTCTTTTATTTCCACTTAAAGTTGAAATACTACTATTTGGTGAAGAAACTCCAACTTCTTCTTCTTCTTCTTCCTCTGTAATTGTTGGTATTATGTTCACATCTATTCCCTTCAAAAATGTTCTGCATTTCTCCAAATTTCTATCTGAAAAATAATAATTAAAATTTGGATTATTAGAAAGTTTTTAGAGAAAAAAAACTATTTCTTCCTATTTACTTTGTTTATCTTATTTTGATTTGACACAAAATTTCAAAAAAAATAAAATAATTTTATGATTTTAAATTTAAGATAAATTTTGTGATCTTAAACGTGTTAAAGTAGAAAATTGAAATTAAAAAGTAACATTAAATAAGGAAGAATGACAGTCATATGGACTAAAAAGAAAAATAAGACATATAAATTAAATCGAAGAGGGTATAAAGTTTCAGATCTAAACCTCTTTTCATTTTGCACATTCTTAACACAATAGAGAAAAAAAATTGCTCACTTTTTTTCCAAATTCATGTCTCCGCCACTAATGAGTGTAGAATAACGATTTTCGATATACCCTCACTAGAAACTTTTTCATATTTAACCACGATAATAATAACATATTCAATATAATCTGAGTATGAGTTGTCCTTTATACGATAGAGAGATTGTTTCTCATAATCCTGTGCGTAATTTTTTCTATCTATACTCAAGACTTTAATATCCGAGACTTGAACTTAGACCTCTAATTAAGAATATACGAATACTATTCATTCTATCACAATCCTTTCGGATAATAATAAATTGTTATAAGACATTTATAGATCAAGAAGAAAAAGAACAAACCTGAAGAAGGAAATGAGTCAATCCAAGAATTTAGCTGCAATGGATTTGTTGTTTTGTTCTCTGAAAAACTAAGACTCAAACTCAATCTCAAATCTTGATTTTCCAACATCTTTTTTTTTTTTCTCTAATATTATCTATAGGATTCTTGAAAATAAATTGAAAAAAAAATGATAGTTTTTTCAAGTAGAATATGAAGAATTTAGGGAAATTAATTCTTTTCTCAACGAGGATAGAAAAAAGATAGGACTTTATTTAGTTTAAAGATTGGTGAGTAGAGCTGCAAATGCAATGAAAGGGGTTAATATAGAAAAAAATAGAGTTTTTTTTTCTTTTTTTTCCTCTAAAAAAAATTTTAAAAAAAAAGTAAGTCAATCATGACATGGAGTGTAAGGTGTACTAATTATTGTATCATTAAATCATGTATTGATTTTGCCTCCCCAAAAATATTATCACCATTCTCAATGGTCCTTTTTGTTTTGGTCCCCATTTCCTTTCTAAAACATCTTCGGTCCATTTTATTTATCGTGCTTATTAAGAATAGGAGTTAATATCTCAAAATGTCACTCAATTTTCAAAATTTATCTAGTAAAGTCATTAAATTTAATTTTGTATCAATAAAATCACTCATCTTAGGCCTTTGTATCACTAAAATCACTCAACTAAATTTATTATTTTTATGCCATGTAATATGCAGTGCCGGCTCTATGCTTTGGGAAATAAGGCTTTTGCCTTAGGCCCCCAAATTTCGGGGGCCCCAAATTTTTATCAAGAATAAATTATGTGTTAAAAATTTTATAGAAAAAATTGATTATTTATGATAAAAAGTATATATTTTTTTAAAAATATATTAATTTACCCACTTTAACATCTTTTGTACTTTGTTAAAAATAAGAATTAATAGTGAAAAGTGTTGAACAAAGTGAATTACAATTTTTTTTTTTATTTCGTTTTAAATTTTAATCTCAAGCATTACTACAATCATATTAAAATGGGGTATACCAAGTCATCAACTTCTTGCGTCAAATTCTATGGTTCTAAATCTTATCTCTATTTAATATTTATCAACTTATTACTTGTATAATTATGTTAACAATTCATATAATAATTGTCTCACTAAAATGATGTTTTTCAATGTTGAGTTGATAAAATTTTACCTGAAAATAATAACTAAAAAATAATATTAAAATACTAATAATTTTCATCTAAATAGTGTAAGAAAAATAAATTTTGAATAAATATGTATATGAGGTTTGATTATATTTTAGGCCCCGAATTGAAATTTCGCTTTAGGCCCCTAGTCACGTTGAGCCGCCCCTGGTAATATGAACTCCACAAATAAATAAAATTTAAAAAAACTCATAAAAAAAATTAAGAACAAACTTAATTAGTGAAAAATATATTAATGATATTACAATATATTTAAATTTAAAATTTAAAATGTATTATAATTGATGTTTTTCTAAAAAAAAAAAAAAGAACCGTAAAAAGTTGTCATTAATAAAAATTGTAGGATATATCATTGTCATATAAAAAATGATATAACCATTGGCTTAATAACCGTAACATTAAATTGTTGCCGTCACTGGGTTATTAAAAAATTGATGTCTTCCCAAAAAAAGCTGTAGCAGTCATTAAGCCAATGATAATACCATACTTAATATTTATTGTTAGAATAATGTTCATCGTCATGCATTTTAACTCTTAAATACATAATAATACTATAGTATTTATTTCACAAATTAAGTTTATTCATAAGTTATTTTTAATGATTTTTCTTTAATTTTGTTCATTGTGGAGTTCATATTTATATGACACAAAATAAATTTATTTTTCTATGTCAATTTTTTTTAATGATAAATTTAGTTGAATAATTTTATTGAAACAAAGATTTAAGTTGAATGATTTTATTGAAACAAAGGTTTAAGTTGAGTGATTTCATTGATACAAAACAAAATTTAATAACTTTATTACATGAAATCTCAAAGTTGAGTGACCTTTTGAGATATTAACTCTTAAGAATAGTAGTTGATTTAAAATAATTTCACTCTAAGACAATGGATGATTTGTGGAGGTTGAAAGTGCTTTCGGCCTTCGCAAATCACCCATTTCTTGTGGTGTGTTTTGTTAATATCCTAAAAATGTGTATTTATTTTACTTATTACTTATTTTACCATCATTATTAAGTAATATTCATTTTTCAATAAGTAAG